AATGCCCCTGAATGAATGAGTAAATAAATGGTCATTCCTTGAGCTTCTAAGAGAGACTGTCTATGTAATACGCCCATTCTCAAAGTCAGAACGAAGGCTTGTACACACCTTATGGACATGAAGACTCTTGAATCAGTATTTTTCCTGGTAGCAAAGAGTTAGGGGACCTATAGAGGGGAAAATGACCTCAAATGTGGTGTATGCATCCAAAGACGCGCGTCAACAAAATGAATTGAGACATCTTTCAGAATGTTGTGTAGAGAAAGGGAAGAAAAGCAGAATGCAGGGTCACCACAGTTTTACTTATGTGAATTGGAAAATCACACTTAAACCAAACTATAAACATTTTTCCAAGGATTTATGCCTAGCTAAATAAACAGGTGGAAAATCGGCCTAGCAGTCATATGCTCCATGGTGGGTGTCTGTGGAGTAGAGACATGGTGATGTCTGGGAAAATTAGAGAAAAGTCAGAAGTAAAAAGTAAATTTAAAGGAAGAATTTTCTTTTCATTTACATTTTACTTGTTATTTGTTTGACACCCACTAAGGAATATGCATTGCTGGATAAGTGCCTGTAAGGATAAAACAAGCGACAACAGCATTGTTGACCTGAGCTGATTAGTCCCCTGAATGTCCTGCTGACCACGGAACAAGTCATTTCATTGGGAAGGAAATGGAAAGACAATTTCTGCCCTAGAACGACCTGGCTGAAATTTGCTTTGAAATAGACAACGACACAGGTAAGTAAAATGGTATTGCTACAATACATACATCCACAGGTTTATGGGGGGAATAAAAAACACGTTTACACACGTGTCTGTAATCAGTGGGGAAAGGGTGCAATCAAAACAAGGGCTTCCAAGGAGACCTGGGTCCAGTTAAGTTCAAGGCAAAGAGATGGGCCATGAAAGTTATGGTGATTATTTGGGGGGACCCCAAAGGGGTGCTCTTAATATATTTCCTCCAAGGACATGGGATGATCACAGGAGTTCCTTAGGAAGAAGTGTTACAAAAATGGAAAACGGCACTGGTGAGAAAAAGCCAGGAAAGTAAGCGCCAAAGAATTTGTTTCTCCATCACAATGCCCCCCACCCCCCACCCCTGTTCTTCAAGATTAGCAAGGGCCGCCCTGCGAGCACTTCCCTGGAGTACTTTATGCATCCACCCTACAGTCCTGGTCTGCCCTTTCAGACTTTTCTTTGTTTCTAGAATTCAAAGAACATTTCAATGGAACCACAATTTGCATCCCTTGGGACTGCCCAAACTGTTGTTTTGATGTGGTCTAAAGAGCAAAGTGCAGAATTCTTTGTGGGGAGGCTTATCAAGGTGGAAACAGCACCCACAGAAATGTACAGAAGGAGATGGAGAGTATATTGGGAAACAATAGCTTCACATTCTGATTTTTGTTGTTTAATAAGGATTTCTATGATTTTGTAGCAATACTTTTGACTGACTCTAGTGTAATCACCTGATCGAAAACCACTCCCTCACACTGCCCTTGTTAATTTCTACCCCTTTACACTGTTGCTTTTAATTTTTCTTCATAAAATGTAGACCACACACATCTGTGGATATGTACACGTGTTCATAGGGCTGTGTGTATGTGTGTGTATTCTCCCCCATTAGAAGACAAAACTGACAAAGTCAGAATTTTCTCTGCCTATTCACAGTTGTGTCCCCATCCCCAGAAGAATATTTTTCACACAGGAGGTACTCAATCGGCATTCATTTTAAGATGTAATATTAAATTGAATCAGAAAGTTTCAACGCTGGTCCTAAAGGAAAATTCCCCTCCTGAAGTCCACATCTGTCAGCACAGGAACTTGTAAAATGTGAGAATTTGGAAGGCAAGGGCAGCCTCGAAGACCAAGTGGCACGTGGCTCACATGGTGGCAAATCTGAACCCTCGGGAGGGAAAGCAGAGGTAAGAAGAAGCCGAGATTCCTAGCTTGTGATTTAAGTTAGCAGAGAGATTTTTTTAAATCATTTTATTAGGGCTCATACAACTCATCACAACCCATACATCCATCCATTGTGTCAAGCACATTTGTACATTCATTGCCCTCATCAGTCTCAAAACATTTGCTCTCCACCTAAGCCCCTGGCATCAGCTCCTCATTTTTCCCCTCACTCCCCATTCCCCACTCCCTCATGAACACCTTGATCATTTATAAATTATTATTTTGTCATATCGTGCCCTGTCTGACGTATCCCTTCACCCACTTTGCAGAGAGATTTTAGGGAACCTGCTGGAGCGTCTCTATTCTAGCGGACTCCATGACGATGGAAAATCGAAACCGCACCAGCAGCGTGGCCGAGTTCATCCTCCTGGGACTGTCCACAAGGCCCGAGGACCAGAAGCCACTCTTTGTCCTCTTCCTCATCATGTACCTAGTCACCATCGCAGGGAATCTGCTCCTCATACTGGCCATCCACACTGACCCTCAGCTTCAGACCCCCATGTATTTCTTCTTGAGTTTCCTGTCCTTCACGGACATTTGCTTCACCACGGCCATCGTTCCAAAGATGCTGGCGAACTTCTTGTCTGAGAAGAAGACCATCTCCTATGCGGGGTGTCTGACACAGATGTATTTTCTCTATGCTTTGGGCAACACGGACAGCTGCATCTTGGCAGCCATGGCCTACGACCGTTACGTGGCCATCTGTGACCCTTTCCACTACGTCACCACCATGAGCCACGGCCGCTGTGTCTCGCTGCTCATCTGTTCTTGTTCCCTCTCGCACCTCCATTCCCTCCTGTACATTCTCCTGTTGAAGCGGCTCACCTTCTGTGACTCCAACCTTATCCACCACTTTCTCTGTGACATCAATCCTTTGCTGAAACTGTCCTGCACCTCCACGTTTTTCAATGAACTGGTGATAAAGACCGAAGGACTGGTTGTTTTGGGGACCCCCTTCTTATGCATTTCTTTCTCTTATATCCGAATCTTCATCGCGGTGATCAAGATTTCCTCAGCTGCAGGGAAACACAAAGCATTTTCCACCTGTGGCTCTCACATCACAGTGGTAGCCCTCTTTTATGGAAGCATCTTCTATGTCTATTTACAGCCCCTGTCCACCTACACTGTCAAGGACCGAGTGGCCACCATCGTCTATACAGTGTTGTCCTCCATGTTAAACCCTTTCATCTACAGCCTGAGAAACAAAGACCTGAAACAGGGCCTGAGGAAGCTGATGGGCAGAAGGAAATTCTAGCCAAAACCCTGGAGTGCGAACTGCTACACTTGGGCCTGGTTTTCTAGGGGTGTTTGTGTCCATGTGAACTTGTTGAAGATGAACATGTTTCATTCACACGAAGCGAGACTGTCATGGGCACGTCCAACCTTTTCCTTGGCCAGAAATTGGCTCTGCCTCTGCTAAAATGTCAGTAGTCTTCCTCCCTTACCCTCCTCTTTCTTTTCTTCCAAATACTGTTTTAAACTAATCCTTTCCCCGACAAATATTTCCTGAACAAATTTCTCCTTGTTTATTAAGACAGCGTCTCCAAAATTCTTCACATTTAAACAATTGCTCAACTTGTAGCTACTTGAAGGAGGCCAAAATGGAAGGACGGTGAAAAGAAAAAGAAGGAATAAAAAGAAGAGAGAGAGAGAGTTAGTCTTTCCCGGAACCCTGGAAATGACCCAGGCATCTCTTTCCTGTCAACTTGGACAGAACCAGGTTTCTTCTTCCTCAGTATCCCTCAATGCATTTTGTTCTAGGCCTTGTAGCTAGAAATCGTTCACCAGTAAGCTCCAATAAACTAACTCACTTGGAATTCAGCTTCAGCTATCCAGTTGGCTCCTGAGAGGGTTAAGATTGGATGCCAACTTAGCGGGGTCACAATTCTTTCATTTGGCTGTTATGTCATCCACCATGATAAAATATGTAATTACTTCTATGAAATCTGCTGTGAGCTGCCAATGTGGCTTGTATCAAATATATATGTGGATGTTCTGTCAAAGCTCACTAGTCTGCTGCTCTCCGGGTCCTGCATCCAGCCCTTATCATCTGACCTTTCATTGTTGGGACTTGTGTGAGTGGCTGCTGATCTGGAGATGGGTTAGCCTTGGCTGACCTGTCAATCAGGGGGTTGCTAACCCATCGAGTTATGTGATTCAACAGAAGCCTTTAACCTGACATCTAACCCAGGACTTGACTTTCCAGCATCT